GCATGAAAATTACATGCAATATGATCAGTACATGTCTATTTTTAACTGGTCCTACTTTAGTGAGGTCAAAACCAAACATAACGTAACAGAGTGTTTGAACTGAAAAATTTTATTCTGATCAGACAATACAACCTAACATAAAGCACCATAATTACAAACTCCCACTAAATCATGATATCATCGAATATCACCACACCCATATGAGCGGTGTGCTCATGAAAGACCTTGGGTGGCAATCCAGGATCTGCTATCATGGAGTTTGTCCAAATGTGCTCTATGGATATCTGTCCACTCTGTACCATTTCTTTCACAACCATGAACTTAATGTCAATATGTTTTGACTTAGATGAGCTCCTGTTGTTATTGGAATATATTACTGCAAATTTATTATCATAATATAACCTTAGTGGTCTTTCTATATTTTCCAAAATGCGCAATCCCGTGATAAAATTTCGCAGCCATATTCCCTGATTTGATGCCTCATAGCAAGCTATAAATTCTGCTGCCATAGTGGAGGAAGCTACAAGTATTTGTTTGACACTTTTCCATGATATAGTTCCTCCTGCTAAAATATAAATGTAGCCTGATGTAGATTTTCTGCTATCTTGGCATCCAGCAAAATCAGAATCAGAGTACCTAATGACCTCCAGCTGTTCTGATTTTCAAATCAGAATCAGAGTACCTAATGACCTCCAGCTGTTCTGATTTTCTGTATGTGAGCATATAATCTTTTGTTTTCTGAAGATACCTCACAGCTGTTCTGATTTTCTGTATGTGAGCATATAATCTTTTGTTTTCTGAAGATACCTCATAATCCTTTTAACTGCTATCTAATGATCCATACCAGGGTTGCTTAAGTATCTGCCTAATATCCTAACAATGTACGCAATATACGGACGTGTACATACCTGAGCATACATTAGACTTCCTACAGCCGAAGCATAAGGAATCTTCTGTATTTTCTGAATTTCAAGGTTACCTTTAGGGTACTCATTGAGACTAAACTTGTCTCCTTTAGCAACATGGGTATCTCCTAGTCTGCAATCTTGCATGCCAAACCTTTTAAGTACTTTATCAATATAGCTCTTTTGTGATAATCCAAGTATACCTCGAGAGCGTTCTCGATGTATCTGGATTCCTAATATAAAAGAGGCGTCCCCAAGATCTTTCATCTCAAAATTCTTTGATAGAAATCTATTGGTTTCGTGCAACATGCCTATATCATTAGTGGCAAGCAATATGTCATCGACATACAGAACCAGAAAAATATGCTTACTCCCACTGAACTTGTGATATACACAGTCATCAACAATGTTCATCTCAAAACCGAACGAGATAATTATTTGTTGAAACTTATGATACCATTGATGAGGAGCTTGCTTGAGTCAATAGATGGATTTTCTTAATTTGCAAACCATATTCTTCGGGTCTCCTGACATAAAGTTTTCTGGTTGCACCATATAAATCATCTCATCAATGTCGCCATTGAGAAATGGAGTCTTAACATCCATCTGATGTAACTCAAGATCATAATGAGCAACAAGTGCCATGATTGTTCTGAAAGAGTCTTTTGATAAAACCGGAGAGAAAGTCTCTGTATAATCAATGCCTTCCTTTTGAGTAAAGCCTTTAGCTACAAGACGTGCCTTATACCTCTCCACATTACCATTTGCATCCCGCTTGGTTTTAAAAATTCATTTACAACTAATTGGTTTTGCACCTTCTGGCAATGGGATAAGTTCCCAAACTTTATTGTCTTGCATAGACTTGTACTCTTCATTCATGGCATCAATCCACTGTTGAGAGTTAGAACTTTTTATGGCCTGAAGGAAGTTGATTGGATCATCTTCCAACATTCCATTACTTTCCTCATGTTCTTGGAGAAATATAATATAATCATCCGAAATAGCATTTCTCCTTTCTCTTGTGGATCTTCTTAATGGCACTGGTTCTTGAGGTTGTTGAGTTTGTTCTTCTGAAACAGGAAGTTGTTCAACATTATCATCTTGAGGTTCCGGATTTACTTCTTGAGCAACAACATGTATAGGAACCTGAATATTATCAAAAATAACTGTATGGATTGGATCTGAGGCCAATTCCTCCTCAAAAGCAATGTCTCTGACTTTATTTCTCCCCCCAAACTCAACATCCTCAAAGAATATTGCTGTTCCCGTCTCAAAAATATTTCTTAGTGTGGGATCATAAAACTTATAGCCCCTAGAGCGTTCAGAGTACCCAATAAAGTAGCTGCTAACTGTTTTGGAGTCTAATTTTTTTTCATTTGGCCTATAAGACATTGCCTTAGACATCCCTAAATATGTAAGTGCTTTAAACTGGGCTTTTGACCAGTCCAAAGCTCATAAGGTATTTTAGCAACTGCTTTACTTGGTACTCTATTTAGAATGTAAGCTGCTATCTTTAGTGCTTCTCCCCAGAGTGACTCTGGTAAAGAAGAATGAGCAATCATGCTTCTTACCATATCCTTAAGAGTCCTGTTTCGTCTTTCAGCTACACCATTCATGCTAGGTAAACCCGGCATAGTGTACTGTGGGACGATACCGCATTCCTCTAGGTATCTAGCAAATGGTCCTGGACGTTGTTCACCTGAACCATCATATCTACCGTAGTACTCACCACCACGATCAGATCTAACGGTTTTAATTCTTCTGTTGAGTTGATTCTCAACTTCAGCTTTATAGGTTTTGAACATGTCCAGAGACTCAGATTTTTCATGAATGAGATATAGGTACCCATAACGTGAGTAATCGTCTATGAATGATATAAAATATTATTGACCATTCCAGGATGCCGCAGGGAATGGCCCACAAATATCTGTATGTATCAATTCTAAGACATCCGTGTTGGCCTCTTTGTTTTGATGATGTTTAACAAACAATTTACCACTAATGTTGTTTGTCTAGTGTTGGTATATTTTTATTTATTATAGACAAACAACGAGTTGGAGGTTGGATGGATTGCGCCATAACGATCATATCAAATGGAGGTTGGCGGAATGTCGGGTTGAAGCCTTGCAATTCAAAGTTAAAGATCAAGTTCAAGCTTCATCCGCACGTGTACCAAGTCAAGCTTAATTGAATTATGAAGACATTTCATAAAGTTTCAATATGCGTTTAAACTCTTTTTGTCAAAAACATGTTCTTAACAAATTCATATTCATGCATGTTTTTACAAAATAATGAGTTTTCACAATTGAGAAATGAAAATTGAAAATTTATTTTTTTAACATGTTTGTTTTCATGTTTATAAACATTTCGTAAAGTTTCATCAAGTTTGGAATTGATTTGTTATGTTTAATGGAATTTACAAAATCATGTTTTTCATTCGTGCATGTTCGTGCATGTTTTACAAAACAGATGAGTTTTCATAAATGGGAAGTGGTATTTAAGAAATTCTTTCTTTGACATGTTTATCTACATGTTTAGAAACTTTCCTCAAAATTTTACTATTTTTAGAGTTGATTTACTGTGCCCAATTGATTTTACAAAATCGTGTATGTCAGCAGTTTTTCAGAAACTGTAAATTTGTGTTCAAATATTTATTTCTCTCAACTGGGAAAAGATTTTTCAGAAATTCTTTCTCTAAAATGTTATTCTACATGTCTAGAACATTCCCACAACATTTCATAATTTTTAGAGTTCATTTACTATTTTAAATTGATTTTATAAAACAGCTGTGCACTGCTACAGTAACTCCGGTCGACCGGACATGTCTCTAGACGCGGTTACTGTAGCATAACGGCTATATTTTCCAGATTTTGATATATCCGTTTTTTTGTCTTTTTGCTTGGTTTTCTTGGGTTTTTGGGCTTGTTTCATGAGCCTATATATACTCCATGCCCTCATACTTCTAAGGGTACTCAAGAAATGTTTTAAACAAGTTTAAAGAGTTTTAAACAATGGTTTAAGTGTGTTTTAGTGTTTGTTTGGTTTGAAGATTGTTTTCATAAGTGGAGGAGATCATCTTCTTGTTTGGGCTCCAATCTCCATCTTATCATCTATTGGAGAAGTTTTCTAAACTCTATCTAGCTTTACATTTGCTTAGTTATTTGATTATCATTCTTTAAAACTAGTTTTTTATATAGAGTTTAGATTTGATTATATTATCTCATTGTTACATACACCCACTTGAGCTTATTGTATTTGCATACATAGTATATTAGGGTTGTGAGAGATTGTAACATTGAGTTGTGCTTAATTGTGTTCTCATCTATTGTAGAGAACAAATTTATATTTGTTACATTGTGAGTGGTGTAAGGTTTTCGGTGAGCTAGAAAACCGAGTGTGTTGTGAAGTTTTCGGTGAACTAGAAAACCGAGTGTGAGGAGTGACGTTGTTCGGTGAGCGTTGAAAACCGACACTGTGAGGTGTAAACGTTATTCGGGTGAGCGTAGAAAACCCGGTTGTGATAGTGGATTTCTCCCCGGGAGTGGGGAGCGGAGACGTAGAACGCGTACTAGAAACAGAACTTTTAGCGACGGACAAATCCGTCGCTAAAAGTCGAAAATCCGTCGCTAAAACTTTTAGCGACGGAAAAAATTAAATTCCGTCGCTAAAATACCGTCAGTACATTGAGGGTAGCTAAAACAACTTTTAGCGACGGATAATCCGTCGCTAAAAGTCAACGACGGAAAATTAGTAACGGAAAATCTGTCGTTCAAGTTTTTTTAAAAAAAAAGAAAAAAAAATTTCGTCGCTAATGTCACTTTTAGCGACGGATTTTTCGTCGCTAATGTATCTTTTAGCAACGGAAAAGCCGTCGCTAAAAAAGAAAAACTTTAGCGACGGATTTTCCGCCGCTATTAGCATGTCCCCGTGTATGTTTTCCGTCGCTAAAAGGGTCTATAGCGACGGCTAATCCGTGGCTAAATATTTCTAATATTTTTTAAAAAATTATTTTGAATTTAAAACCCTATTCAATCAACAATATAATATTCATTCACATGCATATATAACACATATATTTTAATAAAAATATCCCAACATAATTAAAATTATTTATACAGCACACACCATGATAAATATTGTTTATAAAGCACACACTCATTGTTTTCAAAGATAAAAAACAAATCAGTCCTCCTGATCATCATCATCCTCATCACCAGCTCCACATTGTCTAGAAGTCTCAGCCTGCAAATGTAAATCAAAAGTTAACAACATGACATGACATGCAAGTATAGCAATAAGAGAGAGTATCATGACATATTCTTATGTATTATATGTTTCGAAGAGAGTATCATGGCATATTCTTATGTATTATACGCACGCACATATTCTTATGTACACGCAAGCACGCGTATACACACGCACGCACGCGTACACGCACCAAATCCGCACTCCTCCCCCTCCTCAACCACGACCAACCCCCCCACCCACCACACTCCACACCAACCACCCCCTCCCCCTACATCACCACCACCACCACCCAATCCCCACACCTCCCCCTCCCCTACCACGACCAAACCAGACACCAACCAATCAAATAACGCCCATCACAATACAACACAACACCACAACACAACAACAACATCCGACAAGATCGTTTTTTAATTATAATTTTAAAATTATAAAAAACAAAGCACCAACGGTTACAACCGTTGGTGCAATTAGCAGCACCAAACACAGAGAATATGTTAGTTTACAATTAAAACAACTTAAGAGGTTCATTCTTTTCATTGGTTGTGTATATGTGGGTGGGTGAGTGTTTTTTTTGTATATAACAAGAATACAGAACCTCGATTTTTCAGAAGTATATGCCGCTAGAATATTCAATGAAACAAAGACGAGGTGAAAATATCTCATGACCTTATAACTTGAAGCGAAAACTAAGCAACTAATTGTCTGCAGGTAACTATAAGTCTATGAATGGGTAATATAGTGGCAAGGGTTATAAAGCATGTTTTTCTTCTATAACACAGACACGTGAAGAGGAAGCCTAAGAACCATATGAATCTCAAGATTCAAGTACCTGACATTTCCAATAAACGTAAATGTCCATGATGCCCTCCTGGAATACAATTGGCTTGTGAAGTGACTATTTGAGGTACACTCGTCTGATGGTGAATTGATGCAAAAAGGTATACCCATGTAAAAGAGTCATGAATTTTCCTTCTATATCCAAAAGTTGTCTGAAGTGAATCTAAGTGATATGAGTACTGATTATCCCACAGTTTTGAGTCTCAATCTAGGTCAACAAATGGACTTCTTTTATCAACTTCATACTGCATACACCTTTGCTTAATGAATCTGACGTCTTACATAAAAAATAAAAAATTCTTCTTGGCATATCTCGCACTTTGGCTAGAAATACAATTTCCTGTACACAAACCATGTGAAATTTTCAGTTGTTGATGAAACCTCCTTACTCGTCTAGGGAAATTCATGTTGCCCCTTTATTAACTTAATTTTTTGGCAGCTAGTTCTCTCTACTTACAAGGCATCTTGAGTTATTAAAAAAATCCTTTAGCCCCACAATTTCCCCAATCACCTAACAACATAATGGGTAGGAATTAGCGTGATAGCAAGTTGTAAGAGACAAACATTGAAATCTTGCCAGCTTGAATTCAAGTTAGGAAGGTGTGTAATGTCAGTGCATATCAGTATCTAGTTAGAAGAAACACATAATTCATAGTAATGAATGTCAGTGTCCACTCATTAAGCATGGCAAATGGTCACCATCACAAAACCAAGCAAACTATTAAAAACTCAACATACAATTTTTCCTTGTACTCTTGGCAAAAGCTCTCATAGATATGTAATGTCAAATGAACTATATTTTATATAAAACTCCAGGCAGCAAGTTAATATAATATATCATGAGAAACGTATGAACTACTCGATTTAGCCAAATTTAGATTTTGGGGTAGAGTGAAAGCACTCTTGAGAAGAAAAGGTGCCATTAATGTTCTTATTGTATATTTAGACTTTGATTCTATACACCTCAAAATAATTTCAGTCATCTCTAGTTATATTAACTTCATAGTAATTTTAACACAAGTGAATAAAGAATTATCATGACAAATATTATTAAAATATGAACTGAGTATTACCTCTAATGTCCCTAGGAGCTGTCCGAGCATTCTTCTGTTGCGCTTAACCAATCTCGGGTCCTCATTCTTTGGAAAAATCCTAGGAATTGACTCTGTCGGTATAACATCATAGTCCTGAAAGGAGCATGACCATTATTCATCGCTAAGCATGACCATTATTCATCGCTAAGGGCAATATATACTGAATAACAAAAAGGGGGAAATGTTCAGTTCTAGATAGTACCATCTTCCTCATCGCCTAGGTTTACCATTCTCTCCAGTTGGAACAGCCGCAACCTCTGATATATGTTCTTCCTTAGAATCTTTTGGTCCACTATCATCTTCTTTAATTTCTCCATCCTCCAACTTCAAATAAGGTTTCATCAAACAGTCTAAGTCAGAACTTTCAGGAAATCATAGCTTGTAATGAGTAGAGTAACATCATAATTCAGATGTGTAAAAAAAACTAACAGGAAGGAAAAGAAAGCAGCAAGTGGCCGAATGAAAACAATCTTTTCATCTTCCTCCAGCTACTTGGAGAAAGAGCATACATAGAATTTTTGGTTGGGATTTCTCGAAAATAATTGAAAGAAAAGGAAAGCATTAAGTGTGTTAGAAAAACATGACCAATCCTTTAATTCCGTCATCTTAACGGGGACAGTGGACTTCTCAACAACGATCTTGTTGGATTTCGCCACGTCGGCGATCATCCTCATAGCAGACTCCCAGTAGGTGAGGTCGGCAGCCTTGCAGGCGCCGAGGCCGCAGGTTTTGGTAGGGGTGTTGACGGAGACGAAGATGATGTTGCCCTCGGCAACGTGCTTCTCGACGTCGGTGTCGAAGAACAGGTTATGACCCCGGCACTGCTTCACGACGTCATCGAGCCCGGGCTCGTAGATCAGGAGCGTCTCGCTGTTCCAGGCGGTGATCCTCACGACGGAGATGTCGACCACCACGACCTCGATCTCGGGGCATTTCAGCGTGATGACCGCCATCATCGGGCCGCCGAGGTAGTCAGCTCCAATACAGCAAATCTTCTTCATCGTTTTTAGCTGCTGGCTGGGGAGGAGGAAAAAATTGCCGGCTGG